TTCTTTAATACATCTGTGTGAAGCATTTATTAACCTAAGAAAATAAAACAACAACTATATAAATAAGATGAACTAATTTAACCACCACTGATTTATTCTATGGACAGAACATACAAAAATCGGAATATGTGTGAGCATTCACAGATACACTCCAAACATCTGGGTTTTAGTATTTCAGACGTACATATAACATAATGCAACTGCACACAAAGCACAGGGATATGACATACTTTCAGAGAAAAATCTTAAAATATTGAAAATAAGCCCAAATGGTTCTAGCACCCCGTATTGCTATTGTCTTCACATGATCATAATCTTAAAATCAGGGGAAAAGTGCATAGTTTATGAGTACAGTGGTCCAATTAAAATGGTTTACAATTTAATAATTTGTTAAATATCCACTTGTGTATAGATCAGTTTGTGGAGTCGTTTCATAAACTTGGTTGTAAGTTGCAAATTGCAGCACAAATAAGTCTGCATGTGGCATTATTCTCACTGGAATCACCTCTTTCATCATTTTAAATTGCTTTAGGCAACCAATTGCTCTTTATACATGTATTTTCACATGTGGTAACTTCCTTGTCAACTGCATATTTTTTGAGACAATTGGGTCAAACCACATGTAAAAGCTGATATTTGCAAGTAGGAATCTAAAGTTGCTAGTTCCTCCTTAATAAAAAACCTCAGTCAGCCATAACCAAGTTGCTATGTTCCAAAACATCAAGGAAACTTGACTTCAGTGTAATTGCTTTATAAGAAACTGTGCCCCCAAAGGCCTTGTTTATAATTGGGCCAAATTGTTGCATGATCATGAAGACTGTCATGACTTTCAACAAAAACTTCAGTGCATCCATTTATCGTTCTACAGTTTTTATAAATATACAAAAGACCTTTGGAAGAATCCTCTTTGGCAGACCAGTGAATAAGAAACCTGAGCTTCCTTCCTATTGCTGGCAGAACAATATTGAGCAATTGGGACAGATGACTCATTGACACACCAAACCTCATGGCCAAATACTGGTTTAGCAAATTCACTTATTATGAGGCTCAGCAGCAGTATATCTTTACAAGACAATATTTTCAAAACGAGACCCAAAACTAAAGCACTTTCGAATAGTTGACTATTCTTCTTCAGGAGTATAAAGGGTCTTCACAAGACAGTGTTGGAGACAGTAATTAATTAACCATTTGAATGTTTGATTTGAGGGCAGGCCTGTCAAGAAGGTGGTCTTTCATTGTTGTCCACAATGGTTATGCAACTATATGATACCTCATGTCTCCTTTTGAGCTTCCTCACTGCATAAGCAGTCTGTTTTCCTCATTAATCAATCTTATTCTCTCCTGAGTGTCTGCATTACTTTGAGGCAAGGATTGTGTTTGCATTCTGAAAATAGGAATAATAATGATATTACTTCATTTGTTTGCTTACTGGTTAAATTATGCTAGAAAATGAAAAATAAACCAATAATCAAGCTAACTTTAGACATTTGGTTTAAATATTTTATTTATTTATTTCCAAATATACAAAAGTGTAATCATGGCATCCCAGTAACACCTTGTGAACTGGTTATTGTTAATTTATGCGTACGGTTTTTGTTGCAGAAATTTTTTTTTAAGAAAAGTATTGTAACTCAAAATAATAAGATGTTTTATTAAAAGTTTGTAACAATGGCAGAATTAGTAGGAAATATGTGTTAATTTAGAAGGCAGACACTTTGAGTACCCAAAAAACTAAACTGAACAACTAAAGCAATGATTATCGTAAACTAGTGACTGCTACGTAGTTGACAGTGTTTATATCATATCAACATCTTATTGTTTGTATTCCAAATTAATATTTGTATTAATGATACAATATAATATTTGTAACCTAGTGTTCACTAAGTATTGTTTGACCACTGTATTAATAAGTCTCAAGAACATGGCTAAAGATTTTAGCCATTTAATAGTCATGACTTTTAATGATAACAATGAATTGATATTAAAATGAAATATAAAACTGAGTTATCAGATTTTCCCTAAAAAATTCTGCACAAATATGTATAGTAAGTATATTTGTAAAGCAAGGGAGCAACTTACCTAGATTATTACCAAATTCTAGGGTTGATGAGTCCTGGTTGAGGATCAGACTGGGGATATCAACCATAATCTGTGCTACTTGCCCAACATTTCCCCTCTCTCTCTCTTTTCTTGCACATATTCTGATATTGGCCCTCTTATATAATCCTTTCCTTGTTCTTGATGTAGTTCCTGTTGTCTTATAGTCTCTCATTTCAATGTGTGGCACATAGTCTGAGTGAACAGGAACATCACCTTTGTGTCCTATAAACACATCCAAATTAAAAATAATGATTATGTCACCATTAAGCAGTCTTTTAAAGATAAAATAATAAAATTATAGAGTTGTATTTTAGAATTTTTACCCACTTTATATTTATTATTTCACATTGTTAATATATTCCATAATAAAATGTAATGTTATATTGATATCAATCTAGTAAGCACATAGTTTATGTGAATTCATGAACCAGCATAGCAATAATGATGTCTGATTATGCTAACCTTATGACAGAGCATGCATGATAGATACTTGCACAGAGATACACTCAGATTTAGTAACATACTTCTGCATCAGTGATATAAACAGATCAGGTCAAGCTTAAAGATAAAAAAACAGTACTTGAATCTTTGTAAGAGTAACCCTACTACTACTACTTATGGTACTGAGATTGTAGCATCTCAGTCTCATGGCATGTAATGGTAATTTTTGTCGGCTCTCCATCTTACGTAGTCTTTGAATTATCATATTGACAAGTTGCATCATTACTGACAACAGCAAATTAAGAAAGATTACCACTACGTGCATTATTTTAGCATTACTAGTAGGGTTAGAAAAGCTGCAGATTAGAAGACCAGTGTCAACTTTTTTGCCTGGTTTCAATCATAAATATATGAAATTTAAACATCTTAGCATATTAAAACATATATATATGTATATGGTATAAACATATATGGGCTGCATGCATTGTATTTTTATGTGAAAGACAAGTTTTCATAAGTAAGTAGAGCCATCACTCACCACTTACAAAGGGTTGACCATAAACCTGGTCAAGGTCCTTCAACTCCCAATCTTTTCTTTGGATTGCTGCAATCTACAATATTCTTCTGATAATATCAGATTGAATTATATGCCATACAGTCTTTACTGACTACAAAAATCTATTTGTGAAATTAATTACACTACAAGAAGTCAGCATTAATTCAATAACAAAGGACATTCACATCACCGTGACACAGAACAACAATGATTAGTGTGGAGATGTCTTGCCAATAATGACAACATTATTTCCTGTGATATCATCAAGATTGAGCTTAGGCTAAACCTTGTATAAAGGGTAATGTGACAATTATACACAATAATTCAATTAATTATAAAATGATAATAGGCGATAGCTTAGCCATGACTAACTAACTCAAACCTTTTATTATGTAAAGAATTTAAACAACAATTACTTTAAAAACGGAGATGAACTCATTAAGGACCATAAAACTTTTATGAAATAGTGATTTTATTGTAATTTAAGAAAACATTAATGCTAGCAATTATAAAAACTGCTGAGTACTAATATAAGCTTACAAACTGTTAAACAACAACCTAGTAGTAGTAATAATGAAATTGTTAATGTTACCTGTTAAACAAAGATAAACATTTTCAATTAATGAATCAAGCCCAATGGCACTACTAGTGCTAGTACTACACACAGTAAAAAAAGACCGCAAGATGTGGAAAAATAATGACAAAAATGTTAAAATGCTCGTCTATTAGTCAGTATTAAAAAAACTTTTTTTCATTATTACTTGCAATGTTTTGGGCAGAAGCCCTTCACCAGGCAGTATAAACCGTGTAACACGAAAAAAAAAGGCTTTATATATATAAATAAGTTGTTGTATATTATAGACGTGTATTTTAACATTGTTTTAGTACTAATAGTAATACTACTACTAGTAGTAATAGTACTTGTAAGTTGTATTACTACCAAAACATATCACCTAAATAAAGAAACATACAACAAACATTGTAGGAATAATAGAACTAGAATGAGATATCAGAACTTGTGACACGTTAATAACAAGACTTAAATCTTAATAAAGTTGAGCCCAGTTTACAAATAAAAAATTAATATTATTATTAGTAATACACTTACCCCTGCATTACAGCCAATATCTAAACCAACTCTTAATTTTTCTACTTTATTTGCGCTAAAAATATAATTCAGCAAATGCCGAGGGATAAGATTTATTCTTTTCTTTGGCGAATTAAATTGATAATAATTTATAAAGTTACCATACTTAGCAGCACCAGGCTCCCTTTCCCACAAAGAGGAAGCCGCCATGATACAAGTTTCGTAGCGCCGCCACGAATGAAAGTTAAAAAATAACTTGAACCACTTGAGTCATAACAATGTTTTAACAGAATAAAAGTAGAAGAAAAATAAAATGAAATCTGATTAACAGTATCAAACATTTAATTTTTGTATAAAAATCAAACGATGAAATTTTAAAATAATAGACTTGTCTCTCAATATTTCGCTTAATTAAATATAGAGTGAAAATTACGGTTGAACACAGGTTGTTTTAAGAATTACTTTTTGTATCTCCTTACTCAATTGTAGAAATTTGCAGATAGACCGTATCATCGATTCACTTTATTGTTTTGTGATTGCTGTCAACTTTCGTTCATTTACACATGATGTTAAATTCTCGTTTTGTAGTTGAATATTTATCATTACTACATTCTATCTATTTCTCTATACTGTAAGTTAGAAATATAAAATTCCGCTCACCAGTAGTGGAAGAGCTACTTAAATTCTCCTCCCCTCTCCAACCATGATAAATTACTTGTATAAGATTAAGAGTATAAAAAATTGTGAAAGATATTTTCATTGAAATAATAATAAGAATAATGTTCTTAGTTTTTCAAAGTGTTATGGGTGACCTAAAATTTGACCTTTCAACTTTTATATGCTGTCATGTCAGGATAAGTAACAATATTTTTGCTGATCTGGTCATATACTGGAAGAAGAGCCTGCTTTCTGTTGTTGAGTTTTCTAAGTTTTGCTAACAGCATTCTTGACCGAGATCAAATGTCTATCTAGCAAATATAGTTTATTTTCAATAAATAATAAGTTCTTTTATTTATCGCTTTGTTTGAATATAATAAACTTAACAATAATCTTATATATATATATATCGCGAACCGTGGTGTCTATCCGAGCGTTCGTCTGTCTCCCTTTTGAAAAGCTGCACACACAAGCGAAGCTCAGCATTCACTTTTGAAATAACAGGAGAACAGGCATAAATAATGTTGATGCTAAATTTTATTTTGCAAGCAGGATATTTTACATTAGATTGTTAAGAATTAATCATACTATCATTCATATTTCAAAATGTTACGTAACTTAAAGAATAAAAATGTAGATTTACCGTATGCTATTGTTGAGCGGCTCAAAGCATGACTGAAATGCTCAACAAATATTTTTCGCGGTGGGCGGTATAAGTAGCTCAAAGCTTTGACTCTGAGTCAAACCAAGAGTGCAAGACAATAAACCCTTTTAAGGTCCACGAACTAATTTAAATTGATAGACTAACTTAAACTTTTCCCATCACTGGGAATAGATACTGTTACGTCTCTGGTTGTTAGTTAATTTTCCGTATAATTTATTTCCGATGAAACTTTAACGATACAAGCCCTTTCTTAAATAAAACTAGTTTATTCTTTTTGAATGCAACTTTGCGATACACTTAATGTCCACAGTCTCGCTATAACCATCG